GAGTTAGTTCCTTTTAAATAAAATCTTGGAGTTTGTTCCTTTTGAATAAATATCTTTGAGTTGTTTCTTTTGAAAAATCTTTGAGTCTATTTATTTTGAAACAAAGTTTTGTCTCTCTTGAGACAGTTTTCCTTTAAACAATCTTTGAGTCTGAAACAAAGTTTTGTCTCTCTTTAGACAATTTTGTGAAAAAATCTTTGAGATTGTTTCTTTTGGAAAAAATCTTTGAGTTTGTTTCTTTGGAAACAAAATTTTGTCTCTCTTAAGATAGTTTCTTTTGAAACAAAAATCTTTGAGTCTGTTTCTTTGGAAACAAAATTTTGTCTCTCTTAAGATAATTTCTTTTGAAAAAATCTTTGAATCTGTTTTTCTTAAAATAAATTTTGTATCTCTTGAGACAGTTTCTCTTGAAGTAAATCTTTGAATATGTTCATTTTGAAAATCTTTGAGTTTGTTTCTTTGGGAACAAAATTCACCATCTTTGAGTCTGTTTCCTTTGAAACAAAACAAACATCTTTGAGATCATTTCCCTTTAAACAAATTTTGTCTCATTCGAGACAGTTTTCCTTTAAACAATCTTTGAGTCATTTCCTTTGAAACAAAATTTTGTCTCTTTTGAGACAGTTGCTTTTGAAACATAACATCTTTGGGCTTGTTTCTTTTGAAACAAATCTTTAATTTGGTTTCTCTTGAAACCATAACTCCTTTAGATGACCAGATCTCCTCATCACGTATGAGCCGTGTCATTCCCCAGACCAGATCCCCTCATCACGTAGGAGCCGTGTCAACCATAGATAACCAGCCGTCCTCATCACGTAGGAACCGTGTTATCACCTTTAGATGGCCAGCCGTCCTCATCATGTAGGAACCGTGTCATCCCCAGACCAGATCTCTTCATCACGTATGAGTCGTGTCACCCTAGATAACCAGCCGTCCTCATCACGTAGGAACCGTGTTATCACCCTTAGATGACCAGACCTCTTCATTGCGTATGAGCAGTGTCGTCCCCACCAACAGAACTATCCATTTTTTTTCAAACCAAAAAGAGGAGAACCAGACAAAAACGTGTTTTCTTGTCGTCTTTGCCCTATTCTTGTTAACACAAGAATGTGCAAAGAGGGGCAGCTGTAGACACCCGTTTTTGTCCGGGTTTTTTTTTATCGTTATTTTATTATTATTATTATTATTATCGTCATCTTATTATTTTATTATTATTTATTATTACATATTTTTTTTTTGCAGGCCAAAGCCCAATACAACAAGGCCCAACCAAGGCCCAACCAAGGCCCAAACACGAGCCCAAGTAATTAGGGTTTTAAACCCTAAACCTATCATCATTCAGCCGTCGCCGCCGCTTCTGTTGGACTTCCAGCCGCGCCGCCGTCACTTTTCCGGCCCACTCCGATGGTCCAGCCGCCGTTCCCGCGCCACCATCGTCATCTACAGTGAAAAATCAATCAAACAGCAACCCCATCAGTGACTAAATCAACCAAAAACCAAACCCCAAATTAAAATACCAATAAATCCCTAAATATTCGGGATTTATATCTTACAAAATCAGAGAAGGACATGGGCTATTCTAGACATCATCATCTCACCAAATGAAGCAAAATCGGCCATAAATCAAGCAGATATCAGAAAAAAGGGGGGGGTCATTCGGTTGGTAAAAAAAACAGAAAGAAGAACAAGAGAGGATTCGGTGATAACCAAAAAAAAAATAGAGAGCATTCGGGGAAAAAAAATAACATAGAGAGAAGAAAAAAGTCTTACCCTTGTAGATCTATCCCTTGTCAATCTCACCAGAGCTTGAAAAACCCTGAATCGAAGGTAAAACGTTCTTTTTTTTCTTGAATCTAGGTTTGGATTAAAAGGGGTTCTCGGTTTTTTTTGGGTGAAGGGTTGGGTTTTCAAAGGAGATGAGGAAGAAAGAGGATTGAGGGTCGGTTTGCTCCCCATGGCCACCGATACGGTGGCCGGGGAGCCTCTGTTTGGTTGTTGCGGCGAGGGAGAAGGGAGAGTAGAGAAAGGGAAAGGAAAGGAGGCTGAGAGAGGGGTTTGAAAATGATTTAGGGTTCGGTTGATAACCCTAAAATGGGATTATATCCCAGTTTCAAAAACGACGCCGTTTAGAGGGGTCAAGGGGTTTCCGTATTTTCATATTAAGGGGTAAACCACACTTTTGGTCCCTGATCCTTTGTAACCGTGTTATTTAGCCATGGAATGAAGTTTACATTATTTCAATTTGAGCCTTTATCTTTTCACTTTTATATTTTTAGTCACTATCCTAGGTTATATCATTTTTTTGTTTATATTTGGTTCTGGTTCCATTATTTTTAAATGTTACATCTTAGCCACTGATTTAATATTTCATGCATGTTTCTTTGATATTCAAATTTGGCCCATGAATTTATGATTATTCATTTTAGTCACTGTTTTTATTATTTTATTTAATTACTGATCGGCCCTTTATGTTTCTGTTGATATTTTAATTTGGCCTTAATATTTATGCATGTTACATTTTGGTCACTCTTACAGTTTATGTATTTTGTATTTTGTATACCATGTTCGTATAGTTTATATTTTGGTCACTAGATCTTCTGTTGCTAATTTTTATAAATTTGTACATTGTATTCTGCAGTTATATATATTTTATTTTAGTCCTATTATTAAATGTAATGTTATTATAGTCATACTTGACTTTGGTCCCAATGTTTGTAATAATTTCATTTTAGTTCTCTATATTATTTTTGGGTTATCTTCATTTTGATACATGTATTATTTAATATTTGTAATTCGGACTTTGGTTTTTACTGTTTAGTCCCATTAGTTTTTATTTCTTTATTTTGGTCCCTAAATTTCTTTTTTCTTATGTTTTTAACCTATTCAGTTTCTGTATTTGCTATTTACTCCCTTAAATTCTTGTATTTACTATTTCAGTACATCAAGTTTCTGTTTTTCTTCCTTTTGATCCTTGTAATTACAAATATTTACCTTTTGATAATATTATCTTGGTTTATAATATTTTTTTTTATTTTATTTTAGTCATTTATGTATGATTTTATTGCACTTATTATTTGGTTGTTTGTAGTATGTAAATGATGTTTTTTAGTAATGTAAATATTTTATTTTGTATTTCCAATTACATTTATTTTCATTATATTTTTATCTATATATGAAATATTCGACTATATTTTCAAGAACACGTATGCATAGAATGGGCGTGGAAAGTACCACTTGGTCGAAGTGGTACGATCCGATACGGCATTTTAACGACATAGGAACTTGCAACAAGTCGATTATATTTTACTAATTAATTTATTTTAATAATGTAATGTGTGTTTTTTTTAATATTTATTTCATTTTTATTTGAATGCAAACGTAAATTTCATTTTTATTCGATTCGCATTTTATCAAGAGGGAAATATTCTTTATGGATAAGAAATAGTCGAGTTAACTTTCCCGATGGAGGATTACTAATTTCGATATTTCTTTTCGAGTTAAAGAATTTTCTGTAAATAATTAACTCGAAGCAAATTGATTAAATTTCAATAAATGGATCGTAATTTAACTTTATATTCGATTTATAATTTCCATCATCACGACGATATGTAAGCGATACAGTACCAATTTTGGACGCTGTGGGGGTGCTAATCCTTCCCCACATGTAACCGACTCCCGAACCCATCAAATCGATTTTCTGGTAAACGTAGACCACTTTTGTCTTTAAAAATGATTTTTCTTAAAATTATTTTGAAAGACGTTTTTAGGTATTCGACCTTCCTAATCTAAAGGTCGATGGCGACTCTTTTCAAATTTATTCAAATCAATTCAAGATCACCCATTTTTTTTAAAAAATAAAGTCGTAATCGTTTTTAAAATAATATTTAATTGTTTCACAAAAAAATGGTTATGACAAATATAATCAAAATTGGTGGAGTTTACTCCGTGTTTTTTTGGTAAATTACATGTTTAGTATTTAAACTATTATTTTTGATCTGTTTTAGTATCTAAATTTTTAATTTTTTCAAAATCATATCTAAAGTTTAGTTTTTGTTTCATTTTAGTACCTTCATTCAAAATTTAATGTTAAGTTTTAAAAAGAATTGAAAGTTTAGGTATTAAAAATAGACAAAGTGATAATTTAGGTAATATACGTGTTAAGTTTTTAACGGTCCTCGGTTTATATGGGAATCGGTCAGTTTCTGGCTTAATGGAAAGGGCAGTCCTGAGGGGGTTTGTGAAGTCTGGTTTATCAATCAAGGCTACTGCATAGTGAATTGGATGCCCTAGGTTCTATTTGTTTTCCTTCTGGTTGCTGTCTGCTTTGGTGTCTTACATGTGGCTTTATGTGTTCCATCTATTGGATTGTCCTAATTTCTGTATCGTGGGTGCATTATTTTTCCTCCAATTAGATCTAAGAAGATTTTTTAACTAGGGCCCAAATAATGTGTACTCCTCTTTATAAAATTCTTACTTTTCAAAATAAAATAATTTATAAAAATTAAACGTTAAGTATGATTTTGAAAATTTTAAAAGTTTAAACGGATTGAAATTGATAATTTAGGTACTTAATGTGTAGTTTGTCTTTTTTTATATGATATACGAAACACGAGACAATAAACATCCAAACTGCTGACAAGGATAATACGTCCATAATCTTCATGTTGAAGCTTGGTATCGTTCTTCATATGCTACGACACAATCATCTGCAGGTGAAGTTTAACGGAGATGAAAGTTCAATAGGTCGTGAAGTCGTTTCCATTACAATGGCAGTGCTCTTTACTTGTAGGTTCTAAAAACCGACAATTCCGAACACCTTTAAAACAAAATATAATTTGGTATCAGACACTTGAGTGTCCCTAAATCTAATGAAAAAGAAAACAAGGCAAGCTGCTGAGAAGGCATTTACACTCAGAGAATTTATGCCAAAAAAAAAACCTATGATTATGAACTACATATATCGATTATCTGTCCCAGGCCCAGCCACACCAAGCAGAGGAATGGAGTGGTTGTATCCAAAACGAAGGGGTCCTCAGTGGAAACAAGGATGGACAAACCAGACCCTGTCTTCAGTTTCAGCACCGCCTCTATCCTTCCTTACCATATTTGGGATCGTCATCCTCTTGCTTTGTCTCTCTCGATATGCTGATTACAAGGCCCGGTTATATAACTCCGCCATCAACTTCCAACTATTCGTTTTACTCTTCCCGGTTCTGTTAATCTTCTTCTTCATCATCTCATTTTCGTCTGGCAGAAGGTTTGCGTCTCTGCAGCAGCGTCTTGTACACGATGCTGATAATCTCTACACGACCATATTCTTCATGTTGAAGCTTGGTATCGTTCTCCATATGCCACAATGCAAGCACCTGTAAGTAAAGCTAAATGTTTCAGGATAAGCCCATGATGGAACGTACCGAACGAACACAAACAACTAAACGAACAAACAAATTTTTTTATTTGTGTTCGTTCATTTAAAAATTTAATTTGTTTGTGTTCGCTCGTGTTCATTCGTTAAAATGATAAACGGACATAAATGAACCTAAACAAAAGAACATAAAATTAATTGAGTTTATATTTGAGAAGAGTTTTTTTTTTTCAAATAATTTTAGGATTTATATTTTCTTTACTTAAGTTGAGTATTTTAATGTGGTTTTAAAATTAATTGAGTTTTAAAATATTAATAAGTTTAAGGTCAAAATTTATTAGGTATTAATATTTTTAATCAGTATGAAGATTGGCTAAATATAAACGAACAAATATAAATGAATGAATATAAACTTAAATAAATGAATGAGTCATTTGATTCATTCATTTAATTAAACAAACATAAAATTTTGTTCATGTTCGTTCGTTTAATAAATAAACGAATATAAACAAATTTTCTACCGAACGATTTGCTCAACGTTGAATTCGTTTCAGTTCGTTTATAGACCTACATGGTTGTATATAAAATAATATTTTTTCTTTTGTATAATATTAAAATAAAAAATCGTTTAAAATATGAAACAAATGTGAGTTACAAGTTTGATTTGATTCGAATTTTAATTATATGAAAACTAAAATGTATAATATTATAACAAAGACATTTAAATTGCCTGGAAAATGCCTTTTACGAGGAAGCCGTTGCTAAACCAAAGCCAATGCCCCCACAAGGCCAAAATCCAGAGAGTGGACTTATAAAGCCACGTGCCGCCTCCACGTAAACCCTCAACCATGCAAAGCGGCTCAAACCAACACGCGCCACACCCCGACCAAATTAACACTCTCTTCAAGACAAGCGGAGACATATTTCTGATAGCCTCACCTCTACACTCACCACGAGGATCCCCTCACCGACCGCCACGTACCCTTCCCCCTCAGTTCTCAGTTCTCACCCACCTCCTTATATCACCGCCACCACCCTCCCAGTCCCTCTCATCTTCCCTCCTTTATTTTCATCATCAAAACAGATCAGAGCCGACGATCATGTCCGTCAACGATCAAAACACGCCCATGACTCAGAAGCTTTACGAGTCAGCTCCGTCGTCTCGTCAAGTGGCAAAGTTCATGACCGCCTCCACATTGGGTGCGACGCTGCTATTCTTGGCCGGGTTAACCTTGACCGGCACGGTGCTTGCCTTGATCATGGCAACGCCGTTGATCGTTATCTTCAGCCCTGTTCTAGTCCCGGCGGGGATAACCATACTGCTGGTGGTAACTGGGTTCTTGTTTTCCGGAGGGTGTGGGGTGGCGGCGATAACGGCGTTGTCGTGGATGTACAATTACGTGCAAGGGAAACATCCGCTAGGAGCTGATCAACTTGATTACGCAAGGAATAAGCTCGCCAGTACGGCTAGAGATATGACCGAGAAGGCCAAGGAATATGGACAGTATGTGCAGAATAAATCTCAAGATGTTACACAAGGCCAGGGATCTTAAGAGTTGAGGGAACAACTGTGGAGGTTTAGGGTTTCAAAATGTTGTGTGTTCTGTTTTGTTGGTTTGGGTTTCTTTAATCGAATTTGCATTCGCAGATTATGCTCCTTTTTTTTGTAATTTGGAACAGATGGTTTTGAGCTGCTCTGTAGCTTAGAATCTCTGGTTATCTTGTTAATAAAAATCTCTCTTTTGCTCAACAGATGAGCTTTGTGGTGAAAATGGTGAGATGTTGAAAAAGATTATTCATTATTTGCACGTCTTTTTTATGTACTTTTATATTAAAATAATTGGACATCAAGCACAATAATGGTTTACAGGCCTTGGCATTGCAAGAATGCTATCAACTATAACAACTTGAGTATTCCTTCTCTTTATGATATGGAAAATGATCTTATGTTTCAAAAATTCAGAAGTTAATCTAGTTGGTACTTGATACATATGGACGTTGATACTTGATACATTGTCATTTTAGTTGTCTTTTTAATTTGTAATTACCACAAATGTTGCAAGTTTGATCATTTATGGTTTCGACCCGATAGGGTTGGTTTTTTTGTAAAAAAAAAATGGGTCGGGTTGGATTTCTTTTAAAAGAATTTGGGTTCGAGCAGGATTTTCAAGGGAGGGAGGAATTTGGGTTCGAGCCAGGAGTGAGGTCAGGTCGGGTGGAGAGTGAGCCAGGGTGAGGTCAGGTCGGTCGAGTGTTGAGAGTGAGCCATGGGTGAGGTCAGGTCCTTCTAATCCACTCTTTGCTCACACCGAAAAGCCTTCCGATCTCCTCGAGTGACTTCGGGGGAGAGCCGTCGACCCCGTAACGGAGAACCATCACTTGCCTCTCTTTTTTCCAAATCATTCAAAAGACCATGAATATCTTCCTTCATGTGCTGCCTCATCACAGTTTTCTCCGGCCTCCCTATGGACACATCTGGGATAAGTTCCAGCATCATCGTATACTCAACACATATTTTCAATCGAAGCATCTTCATCGATGCCGTATTGAGCTTGCATGAAAGAATAAGAATGCAGATGCAGATGGTAGGAAGCAATGTAATGGGAAGCATTCCAAACCCATCATCCATCGCTTTGAGAAAACATGGGGAGAGGAAACAGGGAAAATGTTCTTGCCCCCACATCATTCAATTCATAGAATGCATCAATGCATATTAGCTTCAATGATATCGAAACAACTTTCATAGTAACTGTAATAATATAGAACGAGAAAGAGTACAATAAGGTTTACATCGAAACGCAATTTAGGAATTAATTAATCCATTTCTAAACTCTAATCCTTAGTATCTATTTATAGAGATAAGTTCCTTGTTTGCAAAAAAAAAAACTTGTACAAAAAGAAATTTACTCAAACTGAGTTTTTTATTCTTTATCGGCTGAAGAAATAATATACTAAAGAAGAGAAAGCTACATACAAGAACTTGGATCCTTCTAGCATGCCGTGCCACCATCCTCGAAATTGATTTCCTTATCCAGTGTTGTATATGGGTAGCCAATTTGTATCCCCTTGTGTGGTCAAACTTTTCTGCACCTTGTAGAACTCCTATACTTCCTGCCTGTCAAACAAAACAAAATAAACATGAACAATTGGTCAGGTAGAGAACAAACCAAAGAAATGATATTCGGCTAATCCTGGCATGATTTATTACACTGTTCAAACTTTATGATTTGAACAAGAATTTGACAAAGATAATAAAATGTTCAATTATGCTCACTACCCTGAAAACTTAAGGGTTTACAGAGAACATGCTCCTAAAAATCCCATTCAAGCCTTTTTAAGTTTGAAGGATAAAAGTTACGATAATAGGAAACATGAAAAGCAAGCATGTCTGACATTTTGGAAATACATTAATCCATTAGATTGATTGATTTCATATAAAATATGCTACAAATTTAGTTGATTTTTTTTTTTTGTAAGAAAGCTAAATTAACATCATTTACTTTTATGTTTTACTTGCATGATATGTCAAATGTCCTATACGATAACACTAGTGCGGCTCATGCAAAGTATTGAAACGTCACAAATCACAACTTGCAAGGATATATCAGAATGAGACCCTAAAGTAATCCATCTTACTAGGGAGATTCCATAAGGAAAACTTTGCTTTCTGCTTCTCGGTTTTGCTCATTCATGACTACTTATTCGAAACTTTAATTGGAAAACCACATCAAAAGGATATTATATTATTATTTGGACCAACTTTACTAATCTATAACAACTGTTGTATGTATTTCAGAATTCAACCCAGCTTTCCCGACATAATATTTGCTACAAAAAAGTTCATCCTAATCTATCGACGTTGTTGATCAGGTTCCAAAACATCATAATTGTCAACATATACAACGAAGCTAGGCAGCCACATCATTATTCAGGCAAGATCTTCTACAAAAGTTGCATATATATACGGAACATGATTGGAAATAACTAAAACAAGTATAGTACGTAACCAAACATATTGAGGAAGTCAATCTGACCTGGATTAAATCTTCATGGGCTATTCCCAGACCCCAATAGTTCCTTGTAAAGTAGGGGACTAAGGAGCGTGTACTCCTTAGTAGCTCGTCCCTGCAGCACCAACCATAACACAAATGCTGTTTCAGCACCTTCTCCGTAAGTTTGGCTGCTTCTGCCCCGCAACTCATGCTCACAACTTTCCCAGGTTCCTCTTCCATAATTGTTCTAATCCTCTCCAAGTTTGTAATCACTTGCTTAGGAAAGCATAGAGCGGGCAAAGGTTGACTTAAAATGTGTGAGACAAAAAGAATGTCTACCAAGCTTCTAAGACAACCTTAACTCCCTTTGACATTACTACTTCGTTTCTAGCAACTTTCGATAATCTCTTCCTAGAGTCTGACCTTCTTTTGGGAGAAGAAACTTTGGGCTTCTGAAAGCGTCCATGTAGGATGTTGGAAGGTAGCAATTGCGTAGAAATATTAGTGGTTTCAACCACTTTTTCTCTCCTCCTTTTTCGTTGCTTCTTTTTTCTAGAACGAATGATGCTTTTATCCTTACCAAGCCATTCATATTACACTCTGCACTAACGGAAACAATATCAGATAGGTCGAAAATTCAAAGGTTTATGAGTCATAGACAGACAGGTATTGAATAAATTTAGAGCTCCAACCCTTCCTAGTTGTAGTAAAATTTCCCTCTCCAATCTTAACACATCTGAATCAACAAGTGTCTCCTCTAAAATGTTGAGATTTTCCATTAGCACTCCATAATGTGTTGTACTGCATATCTGCAGGCTTGTGCACCAGGAAGATTTGTTCCCTCCGATCTGTTCATTAGATTTAACAATCATAACACTTGAACAGCTCTGGAACTGTGATCCCTTGTCAATCTTTACCTGTAAAAGAAAAAAACAGAATAGTACAAGATATTTGGCAATGCAATATTAAGAATTGGACATTAAAGTATTGGTGCAGCTTAGTAGATATGATTTGATATTCAACCACTCACCTTCTCTTCAACTTCTAAGCAACCGTTTTCTAATGTTTGCAGAGCTCCGGAAGAAGCGTATGCTTTCAGAGGATCTTTCGATAAAATCAAACCTTCATCAGATATTACAGGGAGGAAAGACAGCCTAGCTGAGTTACAAGAAGCTTCCTTTCACTGTGTTAAAGAAAAACAATGGAAGTGAATTAAAAAAAAGGAAAGAAATAAAAATTGACAACCCAAAGACAAACACTTGGTGATGTAAACTGGAATTCAATTGCATGGACTCCATAATAAAAGCTTCTAACCAAATCGTTAACACCGATATGTATTTTTCGCCAAAATTCAACATCCATACCAACTTCAAAAGCAAATCATTATAAACTCAGAAAGCATAAGCAGTAACCATACGTGATAGTGATCAAATTTTGACAGAAAATAGTATAACTCAAATCGAAAAAGCGATATAACTTTTAATTTTTAAGTACATAGACTGAATCTCGAGCTTCACCAAAGTATAGGGACTGATCGTTTTAGCAAGAAAACCTCCATCTTAGCTTCAATTAACATTAAAACAATGCAGCAATCCAAATTCAACTTGGTAGTTCACTAACTCACCAGAAGAAGAAGGGAGCCTGGAAGGTGAATTGGCAAGGAAATGAGAGGGAACCGGTAAAACACTCTTGAGATTCAACCTGAAACCCATTGATTCCTAGATTGCAAAGTCAAAGTGTCCATTAAAAAAATTGTCATGAAGTTGGCATAGTTTATGAAGGTCGATGGCCAAAAATATAAAAGCGTTAAGTTTTTCTATCGTATGTGCTGTTTCACCTGAACCACGGGTTCTTCCTCTCCAAAAACTTGTTTTCAACGTCAGCTTCAGCTTTACGAAAGTTACCCAAAGCACCTTTAGCTGGATTTGGGTCTGTTCCAGGCCAGCTCCTACGTCGTGGTTCGTCTCCGATAATTGGGCTTTCTTTCTTCTCTTCCAGAACTTGTGATCCATTACTTAATTGCAATTCAAAAATCTAACACTAACATCATATTTAATCTCAAATTCTCTTGAACCGGATAAAAGAAGGGTTATTTTCTCTTGATATTTTGGGTTCGAATAATTATTTCCATAGAGATATATGCATTATCAATGGCAAACAAAAACTCTGAACAGATATTATTTTTATCAATAATCGGATGATCATTTTATAATTTTTAATAGTCAAAACAAAACAATCTATAATTAATGGACTATTTTATAAGTTTTGATAGTCGAAGGGTTCAATAAAATAATACTCTATAATCGAGATATCATTTATGTAATTTACCCTAATTTTCATTGTAATATATTTCAAACTATCTTTGAATCAAATTATTAAGCTCAAATTAAAAAATAAATATATTACAATCACCTCTAAATGGACGTAATATTTTAAATAATTTTTTTATTTAATCATTAATATTTAATTTATTAATCAATTAATTTGAATGGAATAATATAAAGATTATTATATGGGAGATCTTTTATTCTAATTTACTCTATTTACAATGTTATGATTTAAATATCTAATCTTACTTAAAAAATAATATTTTATATTACTAAATCATTTAATCATTAATGTATTCAAAATATTATTAGTTGAGTTTATTGTAGTAAACGTCATGATATATTTCAAACTAAACTTCAAAATTTTAAAAGATTCTTATTAAATCTTAAAACTATAAATATTGTTCTAAATATTTCCCTTTCTTAATTTAAATATCAATTTTTTTAATCATTGATATCCGATCTATTGACCGATTAATTTAGATCGGGTACTGTAGAGGCTAAAGCGACCTTCCCAACCTAATTTGCTCTATTCGCAAACGTCATGATTCGAACCCCTGACTTTGCTTAAAGTACCTAGTGTCTCATCCCACTAGACCAATTGATTGTTGGTAATTATAGGTAAATATAATAATTTATTTAAATATATCTCTCAACTTATTTATGTAATTATAACTTAAATTTATTATAGATTTAGTTTGAAAGCATGGATCGGATTAGATATTATGTATATGGTTGTAAATGAGACGAGACAGATCGCGAGCTACTCGAGATCGACTCGATTAAAGGTCGATAAATACTCGGATCGAATGGACTCAACTCGAGCTCGAGCTCGACTCAAGTTCTTAACGAGCCGAAACGAGCTACTCAATATTCAACTCGAAAAGCTATTGAGCAGCTCAAAAATATAATATATTAAGATTTTATTTTTTAAAAAAATAAATTATTAATAATATTAATTTTTATGTATTAATTTTTTTTAAAAAATACAGTAAGATTTCATGTATTTAAGGTTCATGTTCGAGTTTGATTTTGAGGCTTCAATCGAGTTATGTTTAAGATTTTTTTTTTCATTTCGAGCTTTTTCGAGCTGCTCATGAGCTTCAGTTTAGGATTTCGAGTTCGAGTCGAGCTTGAAAATTTTAAGCTCGCGAGTTTTTGAGTCGAGTCGAGCTCCATTTCAGAGTTTTCGATTCTAGTTGAGCTCATCAATACTCGAGTTCGACTTGGCTCGTTTACACTCGTAATTATGTTGATAACTTAAATATGATGTATTAAAAAATATGGTATTTCTTTTATTAATTGAGTTGTTTATAAGTGGTAGTATATGTTCTAAGGAGTTTTAACTATTTGATAATAAACATTCAATATTTTGTGCATTTATTGATGTTTGAATCCGAGACCTCTAAGAATAACAATCACTTATTTAAACATTTAGGTCACTTGGTTCGTACAACATAAAAAAATTCCAATTTAACATATAAGCATAAATCGAGAATATAATGAGAAAAATACACAAATGGTCCACCAACTGTAAGACATTGTTCTATTGAATCACTTAATTATTAAAAGTAAAAAAAATGATATTCTCACTTTAGGCCATTATTTTATTGAGTTATTCGATTATTAAAATTTACAAAATGATCACTCAACTATCTATATATTCCAAACTCGTATTTTTCATTAAAAATTGATGATAATCTAAGCAAGAGAGTAACACGTTGACTAAGATATGATAATCGTTTGAGATTTTTAGATCGCATATAATCATATCACAGTCAGCATGTTAATGTCCAGCTCAAACTACTATTAATTTTTAACAGAAGATGATAAGTTTAAAACATATAAAAAATTAAATAACTATTTTATAATTTTTAATAATCGAGAGACTCAATAAAATAATATATATAATCAAAAAATCATTTTACAAATTTTAATAATAAAAAACTCAACAAAACAACGAACTTTACCCTTATTACATCGAGGATATCAAAAAGTCCAATCGCGAATCCAAACAATTGCAAACGATTATCTTCCACAGGGCCATTTCATTTCATCAGATCCAGCGCAAGGTGAGAGTGAGTGAAAGAGAGGGCTTTGGTTCCACGCTGCTAATTAAGCCAAAATGGTGAACTTCATGCTCAAGATCGCTGCCGACCTCGAAAACCTTACTAACCTCCAGCCTCAGGGCGGCTGTGACGATCCCTCCTTTCCATATCTCTTCAAGGTATCTCTCTCTCTCTCTTTGTTTGTTTACTTTTGTGACTTTGATTTTCTTCGTTTGAATTGAGCTCCAGGTTTATTACTCTAATTGTTGCTTGAATCCAGTACGTTATCCCTTTTAATCTTTCTTTAACGATTTTCAAATTTTTAGTCGAAAACTTTTTTCTATTATTGAATTTTATCGCTTCTATTCAGAAAACGGTGCTTTTAGATATTGATAATTCGCTATTTCAGATGGATTTTCCTTGAAAAACTGCTTCCGTTTTCTTATTATTTTCTTCCAGAATCATTTCTCGTTTCATTTATCCTCTTTTCTACGTTATCCATTTCTCGCTTTCTCGTTTCAATAATGCTTTGTTGGGTCATGTAAGTTTTTGGGTTTGTAGTTTTGCAAAACCTTTTGTTTTTGTTTTTGTTTGGGAAAAACATTGTTCTCTGCTGTGCTGAAATGGTTGATGAACCCTAGCCACTGTTTTCCCCTCTTCGGTGCTAGTCAGTTCTAGCTATTCCGTTTCAATTTTATGTGTTTTTTATGCTTCAGAGTTATTTCAATGTCCTTTCATAATTTTGTTGAAATGTCTTCCTCTTAAGTAGTCGGAGCTGATCTCATTTTTTTTATAGACTTTACTTGTAACATTTATTTTTCTTCTTTCACTTATGTGCATGAGAGTTTGCATCTCTCTCACATCATGTTTTTGCAAATGCTTGATTTTCGAGGACTTATTCCACTAATATTTGAAATCTTGGATTTGCAGCTGAAATGTGGTAGGTGTGGAGAGTTGAGTCAGAAGGAAACATGTGTGAGTTTGGGTGACACTGTTTCTCTTCTACAAGGCAAGGGAACAACCAATCTTGTTCAGAAGGTAATCTTGCATACTTATGTTGCCAGTAAATGCATTGGTTTCAGCTGAAATTCATTATGATCTGTTGAATATATGTTTGTATGTGCTGAGAGTGGAAGGCGAGTAGGCGACAACAGACTTTTTTTTCCTTCTAAGTCAAAACACTTACTTCTTAGTGAATTTCTTTTAAATGCTCTTTCACGTTGAATCTAACCACGCACCTGGGCTGCACATGGTGATACTAGTTCTGGATTCGCAAAAGGGAACAATCAGTTAATAGGGTATTAGATGGTAATACTTCATAACTAACAGTTACCCAACCATATTCATGGTTTTGGGATTCCATATCATGTTTCTGTGATTAGATAAGCAAGGTGTATTTTCAAAATATAAATGTTTATCTGCATGATTCATTTTAGTTCGTATCATTTGATGGAATTCTTCTTTGGTCCTTCGTGCCTTCTACATTTTGGATCAAAGAAGCTTAGGAAACCATACTCTTTTTCTAGATAGATCCGTCTTTTACATCATAAGTCATTAAGTAGCCTAATGTAGATATCTTGTGCGTTTAACTTGTATATAACCATTTTTTTTTTTGGGAAAAGAAAACTTATATATAGTGGAACTTTGCATCTATTAGCCTCCAACGATTAACGGCATGCGGTGTCTTTTCTTTTTTATCTCTAGTGCAAGTTTTGTATGAGGGAAGGAACTGTGACAATGATCCCAGGCAAAGGTCGGCCACTGACTCAGGAAGACTGTGAAGAAGGAAAATTTGCACCTTTGATGCTTTTTGACTGCAGGGGTTATGAACCAGTAGGTTTTGTATTTGGTGGTGACTGGAAGGCTGAATCTGTAAGTTTTTCTTCTTCTTCTACCTTAGAAAGTCTTTGGCTGGTAGAAGTCGACATAGCTAATCATAGCAAGGGCTTTGAAATGTAATCATTTCTTATAAAATTTCCAGTTCCAAGCATATTAATACATATTCTGTCTTTAAAGACCAAAATAACCAGTCATGTATGCAGGAGTTCAGGACTAATTGCTAGGTTGAACTCCCTGCTTAATATCATGCATATCCTGAACGTTTCACGTATTACATTCCATGAGTTCCCTAGTTGAGAAGCACATATTTTGGATTTCCTCCACCTACTTCAGCAAGTGTATGATAGCTTATCTTGCACCTGAGCTAAGGGCAATTTAAATCACGTCTATATTAAACAATTCAATGGAATGAAATGGGCGAGCCTTGCTAGAAATTTACGGTTTACATTGCTCTTACCTGTGAATTGTTGGTCATATTAGTAATTGCTTTATCATCACAGCGAGTAGTCACAGTTACTTACAGCCATTCCAGTTATGTATTTGACTATTTGGTTGATGCGTTCCCATGTTAAATTACTGCAATTTCTTTGTCTAGCTGGAAGGAACTAAATTTGAAGGTATTGACTTGTCCGGAGACGAGTTTGCTGAATACGATGAGAAGGGAGAGTGCCCCGTGATGATCTCCAACCTCCGTTCTACTTTTGAACCGGTGAAGTAGAGTAATTAAACTCTCTTGCCTTCCACATGTTTTAGTAAATAAAACTTACAGTTCATTGTGACCGAGGTAGAAACAATTGACTGCATTACATGTAGGCATTAAGCTATATCCTAAGGTGGTTTGATGTGAAACGTTCAGTTTGGTGCATGCCAATAGATGCATTGGCAATGTTTTCATTTTGGTGGATGCCAATAGATGCATTGGCAATGATTCATATGGTTTTCTTGGTTTTTAGAAATATTACACTCGATGCAGTAGCTACCGATCGTTTTCTCTTGTCATGTTCTAGAACCTAATATTTTTTACCCAAAAAAACTTTGATTCTTCACCAACAGATTATACTGTAAATTTAAATTAATATCACGATCTCTATCCAAAGATATATTTTTAAATATTTTTTACATATACGACTAAAGGGTTGTTTAGGTTGATTCAATAGCTCAAGTTTGGAGTCCCGTTTGAAAATTTTGATTTTGTGACTTAATTCGATCTATTAACACGTCTATAGACTATAGTAGAAGTTATAAGGAAAAGAAATAATGATATTAGTAGATTGATCCATCAATTCTTTTTGCTAATAGTGATATTTAAACTATTATCTTGTTCTTACTTTACACATAAACAATGTTAACTAATAAGATAATAACATATGACGTGTTTATTGAAAGTTGTATACTTTTTAAATAAAATAAAATAGTTAGGTTAGGGGTTTGAATCCTGGCGATTATGAATGGAACAAATTGGGTTGGGAGGGTCGTTTTTGCCTATGTAGTATTCGATCTGAATTATTCGATCAATAGATGGGTTGAGAGGGTAGTCTTTACCTCTGTAATACTCGATTTATGTCCTTGCCTTTGTAGTACACTCAATCTGAATTAATCGATCAATAGATTGAATATCAGTGATTATATTAACAAAATAAATAAATGATAATTTATTAGATATTGTTCTGTTCAAACTAAGAAGACTTGAGGTTCGAAATGTAAAGCGAGATAAGAATTAATTTATTATTAGAATTTTTAAAATTATTGAAGTGTTAAATTATTTGTTTTTAATTTTATCTTAAAAGTGTATGTAATGATAATGATTTATAAAAAGTAAAATATAATTCATGATTAATCGTTTATTTCTTAAAAAAATACATAAAGTATAACCAATGTTTTAGAAAATGGGTAAATTACGAGTTTAATACTTAAACTATCAGTTTTAGTCTATTTTAATACTTAAACTTTCATTTTTTTCAAAATCATACATAATATTTAATTTTTATTTCATTTTAATATATCGCCAAAAAAATGGATGATTTCTACATGATACTTTTTTATGGGTAAATTGCATCACTCATCACTCAATTATTTTCTCACTCCTATTTTTGTTACTAAAGTTTAATTTTTTTATTTAATTACTTAACTTTCAAATTACTTATAATTTAATCACTTTCAAATTACTCATAATTTAATCACTTTAACTTTTAAATTTATTTTTTTGTAATTATATATTAATAAAATAATAATAAAAAAATGTCATGTCACAAAAATTATTAATAAAATAAATTAGAGTAATTTGAAAGTTAAGTAGTTAGAATTGCTCGTCCAGCTTAGTTGGTAGAGCGCAAGGCTCTTAACCTTGTGGTCATGGGATCGAGTCCCACGGTGGGCAATGCATAATTCGGAGGTCTCCTACGGAAGCTGCTCTCAACCTGGTGTTGGGGGCAACCTACTATCTTACCTCTCCCTTACCCCATTACATATGGGAATAAGGGTGAGCTAATTTTATTTTTTGAAAGTTAAGTAGTTAAATTTAAAAAAAAATAAAACTTTAGTACCAAAAAAAGAGTGAGAATATAATTGAGTGATGAATGATATAATTTACCAATAAAAAATGTAATGTCGTTAAATTTTTAACGACGAGGTATTAAATTAAAATAAAAACTAAATGTTAAATATAATTTTAAAAAATTAAAAATTAAATACAAAAACGAACTAAAGTACTATATACATAATTTAGCCTAGAAAAATCAAAGTGTAATGATCAACCTTACAAAAGAAAAAGAACGGGGTAAGAGAGACAATCCCAACTTCAATGCTATCCCTTCTCGGAGTTTGTCAAATAGCTACTTTAAGGCAAGAATGTCTTCTCAACTCACCTAAAAACGTAGCCGTTCCATTCCTAAAACCCAGCTTACCTATAAGTAAACGACGCCCCAACAACAACCCCCGTTACTTCACATTCTGATTAACTTGTCCACATTATCTTTAATTTCTGCTCTAGCAAGTTTAAATGGTCATTTCCTTGCCTTATACTTAAACCAGCTTTTTCACTTTGAATTTGACGTTTCTTGTTAACAATGCTGTTTATGACACAATCTTTTGTGTTGAGCTCTTGATTTTCAATTTTCTGCTTTGGGTGTTTTCTTTTTCCCTGGCAGGTGGCATGATAGCTTGTCAGCTCTAGATCTGTTGTTCCATCATCGTTTCACTTGCTAATAAGGGTTGCATTTTATTGGGTGGATATTAGAAACCCCATTTTGGAAATTTTCACTGAATTGATCGTTTTTGGGGTTTAAAATGCAATAGCTTTTAGTTCACTGCTTTTGGTTTTTGGAACTGAACCCAGGATTTTTGAATTCTAGTTTTCGGGGTTGTCTTTAAAGATGCAGACGAGATCTGGGTCGGTTGGGTCATTAGAGGAAGGAAAGGAAGCTGTGGCTGCTACTAGAGCAACCCAATTTAAGGCTCCGCGATTAAGGGTACTTCAATTATTCGTGTTGTATCTTGCTAACTGTATTTCTTTCTCCATCGTTAGTATATACACAATCCAGCATTTTGGAATCTATAGTGTGATAACAACGGTTAAGTCGAATTTGGTGGCTTGCGGCGAAGAACCGAATGATTGTTTGGATCATTGGATGTAACCTCCGTCTAGTTTGATTCATTCGATGAGCGATAAAGAGTTGTTTTGGAGGGCAATGTTTGCGCCTGGAATAAAGAAGTATCCGTTCAATAGAATTCCCAAGATTGCTTTTATGTTCTTGACTATAGGGCCATTGCCACTTTCTCCACTATGGGAGAGGTTTTTTAATGGCGACGAAGGCCTTTATTCTGTCTATATTCATTCACTGCCGTCTTTCAAGGCCGAGTTTCCTCCGTCTTCGGTGTTTTATGGGAGACATATCCCGAGTCAGGTATGCTATTCAAATCTCCTTTTATTGTATATGGTTTGTGTATAGTTTTTTACATGCTTATTGTGTGTGATGGTGAGGTATTGTCTTTAATTTTGCTCTTAGTATGCTTGGATGTCTTCTGAAATAATGTTGTGCAGGTGTTTCTTTACTGATGAATAGGTATTAGCATTTACGATGCCCGAACACATGCAAACGTAGGATGGAGTGTGATGCTCCAAACATAAGAAAAAAAACTCGTACACTAACATAGTCCATGTAACATTAGGTACGTGTTAGACGTGTACCACTAGTTCATAGCAAAGGTTGCAAATTATGGTCATGTATATTATAGACATGCATTTGATTGTGTTTAAGCTGTATGTGTCATTGCTTCCATTTCTGAATTCGTTTAATCCGGACTGAAACTTGCACTTTTGATATTTTTCATTTACACCTCTGTGGGTCTGTTCCATGCTTCAAAACCGCAACACGGGTTTAACACCCTCGCATTATAGCACACTATAGTAATGGATACAATGTAGATTCTGAACTAATTACAGATAGTATTGATCATCAGCGTATCAATAATTATATGGTTTAGAGGCCTTTATGTAGTAATCTGTAATGTGTTAGGAACTTGTACGAGAACTTATTGTGATTGATTTTCGCACAAGAAATAATAGTGATTGTTATGTTTTTGCTACCTCTAAAGGTATCTGAGTGGGGAAAGATGAGTATGTGTGATGCCGAGAGACGACTCCTTGCCAACGCCTTGCTTGACATATCCAACGAATGGTTCATCCTCCTCTCTGAATCTTGCATACCCTTATACAACTTCAGCGTCATCTACTATTACATAGTGGTAGATGATCCAGATACAGCTCGTCGATTCGTTTGATGACCCTTGACCGGTCGGTCGATGACGCCAGACAGAATAGTGATTATCCTGTAGGCTAGCTCCGACAGACGATTCACAAGAGAAAATTCACCCAAAAACCAGAGAAAAAAGTCTCTAGGGTTTAATAAAATATTATAAAATCAAAAACTATGAAAAAGCAGTCCACAAGCCGGACTGTTATAGCAAACAAATCGTCTTTATTCGAATTTTGCCAAAAATAGCAAAATCCCGAAAATCACTCTAAATTGAAATTCGAAATAAAATAAGCAATCTCCCAAAAATCCGGCCTAAATCGGATTTAAATTGACTTCCTAATTAACAATCGAAATATTACCATAAATAGTAAAAAATAACTAAATCTAGTGATTCGGAGGGGAAAACGACAGAATTTGAGGTTGAAAAAAAGGCCACATGGTGTGGAGAGCGTGCGTGTCGAAAAGAGCTTTCCGGATTGGGGTCTTATGCGCGATTCTGACACCTGTAGCCAAAGTTATGGCCAAAAGACTGAAACATACTCAAAACGACCCCAATGAGGAACATGTCACAATCAATTCCCGCCTTTGCGCTGATCTGCCAACTCATGGTATCTCAGCGCCATCAACGTGCAATCTGACAGCTCAGCATCATCTGTCTCGGATCCCCCTGCATCAGTCACCCCGGGTTGGAAAGAACTCGTCCTCGAGTTCAGAGTAGTGTCATCAGGATCCACAAAACAATGACTCAGGTGCTTCACATTAAAGACATCAGAAGTCTTCAAGTGACTGGGAAGTCGCAACCTGTAAGCATTATCATTGATCTTCTGCACGACCTCACAAGGTCCAATCTTCCGATCCTTAAGCTTATTATACTCACCAACAAGAAAACGATCACGAGTTAATACAGCCCAAACAAAATCACCAACATCAAAAAGTACCTGACGACGATGATTGTCAACCCGAGTCTTGTACTTGGTATTGCTCTCATGAATGGTCTGTTTCACCTGCTCATGGATACCCCGAAGATATTTTGCCATCTCATCTGCTTTAGGACTGAAACGTCCTATACGTGGAATAGGGGCTAAGTCCAACACCCCGGATGGGTTCTGACCATAGACAATCTCAAATGGGCTTAAACCTGTGGTTCTGTTTTTTGATCTGTTGTAGGCAAATTCTACCTGAGGCAATGCCAAATCCCACTGCTTCGGCTTCGTTCCTGCCAAACACCTTAAAAGGTTT